GCTTTAAGAAATAGCTCTTTATTAGAAAAGAACAATTTAACATTACTGTAGTGTGAGACGTGATGCGTTTCTTATTTTCAGGAGAAGCTGTGTTGGATCGGAACTGGTAGACTGGCTTTTGGAGCAGTGCCCTTTTGTTAAGTGCAGATCTACAGCAGTTGGAGTGTGGCAGCTCCTCCTGGATATGGGTATTATATTATCAGGTCAGTCTTGATAGTACTTCTAGCGTGAGGAAGGCTATCAGTTTCTCCTGCATGGGGTGAGACTCAAGTTTTTGACAGGAGAGGAAGGAGGGGAAAAAAAAAAATGCAGATTGGTCCATTTTTCTTGACAGTTGTTTGTTTTACTATCTCTTTGATAGTCTTACCTCTGTGACCTTTCATTTCATAAATACCAAAGATGAATCTTTTTTTAGGCAATTTCCTTCCTTTTGCGTGCGTATGTTTTCCAGCCTATTTTTTTTTTTTCTCCTTGAGCTGTTTTAGGTTTTTTTACAGGACACCAGCTGAGGAGTCACCGCAGATCATGGCTTCGCCAGATGACTTCTACAGCTATTAGTGATTTTTCCCTTCCTCTCTCTTTTTTCACAGTTTTAAGTTACAATGGATTGAGAGGATTCAGCTCCTTGAGAAAGGTGGTGATGCCAGGTTCTGCCTGAGTGTCCCCACCTTCCCCACCAAATGTAGGAGTTTGGTCCAGCTAATGTGGGTGGTGATAATTACATTGGTAACCCACCTCTGAAAATAAGATGGACTTTACTTTGTAGTGGGGACTACTTAGGTAGCTCAGCTCAGAGCATACCCCACCCTGGGGTCTGTGCTAGACACTTCACTTTCTGCCTTGCGAAAAGGTAAGGTGTTATGGAAGATTTCTGCTTATGTACACTGACAGTATACTTCAAGGCTTTCCCCTGCTCCAACTACACTGACAGTATGTCTGATCATGCAGCCTCAACAAGGGCTGAATGACTCTCCCAGCAGGCGATCGTGCTTTTGGCTTTGGACCCCATCCTTTGACCCCAGTTGAATCTCACTTATGCCAGGGAAGACAACAGCTGTTGAACTGGTGCATCATTTTACCCAGGTCTAGTCTACAAATCCAGTAGCCCTGAATCTGAGGAGAAGCTGGGAGAATGATGGGCTGCATCTCTGTTATCGAACTTTGTTTACTAGTGCCTGGCCATTGGTGAGAACAGATTAGAAGCCATTGGAAACAGGCTTAGAAATCTGATAAGTGGAAGGTTTTAAGCCCCTAATTCTGAACTGATTCCAAAATTGATTAAACACTCAGCAGTCTTAATGCTTGAATTTCAGAAGCCTGCAGATCTTCAAAATGAAGTTTTGGGGTTGTCCTTTTTGGATGCACTGAGTTAATACGAGAAGGCAGGGTTTCCTCTATGCTGAATTTATGATCCTTTTGCTCTGCATAGTGGTGCAACTCAGCATGAAAGTCAAGTGCAATACAGAATGTGGTGGGGACACAGAACCTTTACGTGATAAAGGTTTAAAGGCTATCTAATTTTAATTATTTTTTCAAACAGTGGACAGACAACTCTATTTTCAAGACGCTCATGCTTTCTACCAGTTCTCAGCGGATGAATGTACCTACCTTTTCTGTGAATTTGAGAAAGAGGAAGGATGGAAGAATGGAGTAAAGCTCCTACTTCAACTGCTACCCTTGTCTCCTCCCAGGATTGACATGTGTAATCTGTAAGTGTGCTTATACAGCTGTTTGCAACTTTTGCTGACTGTTTTGTGACTGGCTTATAATGACAGTGTTTACCCTTAAACCACCATGCAAATGAGCCAGCTTTCTTTTCAGGGTTGACAAATTTTGTAGAGATGGGCTTTTCATCTGAGAAAGTTGATGTGGGTAGATAGATCAAGGCACTCACCTTGGGGTTTTGGGCATACTGTGGTTCTTAGGCACTAGCTTGCTGACTTTAGCTTGCTCCATTACCTGGGCAGATGTCTTTATTATTTCTTTGGTGTCCTCTTACACTGGGAGGTTTGGCACGAATTTGGCAGCAGGCATGCTGTGGAGCTGATAGACAGATCAGATGCCCTTGTGCTGTGTCAGGATCAGGTATCAGGTGAATAGAGAGGGTGGGTAGAAATGTGGTAGCTTGTTGTCTGATTTTAGTTTGCTACCGCATGTTTGCCAGAGCTCTGTAGTCTCACATTATTATTCCTTTTTCAGACTGTGCCTTTTAAGAGTTTTACTTCATATATGTCTCCGCTTTCACCTGATTATTGGATGTTATCATACCCTCTGTGCTGATACATCTAGGTAGCAAGAAGGAAACCACAGTTGTTTGTGCCACAGTAAGAGGCCAAAATGTGGGAAAAGGGTGTCAGTGAGAGGTCTTAAGGCTCATGACCCCTGATGCCTTAGCAAATCTCCAGGAGCTGGCCTGGATAGACAAGTTGGATTAAATTCTTTCATTGTCCCTCGATGATAAATCCTCAAACCTGATACTTATACTGTGGAAAACTATCACTCTTCCAGTACTGGGATTTATTCTCTTTGATGTCAAAGACAAAACTTTCTTCTAAAAGTACTTTCCTTCCCTACATATTAGATTTTAAAACCACATTCTCTCAAATAAATATCCAGTGGAAATATTTTAAAAGAGTACAAAGTCCAAAGCTGTGAGATATCTCAGGCACAGCTTCTTAAATTCAGACATGCTGAGCTGGTAGAAAAGAATCTCGGTGATTTCTCAGCATGGCTCAGGGCAGAAACTTGATTCCCTCCCTGTTGCTGACTGCCCTCGCCAACCAGAAACTGGCAGTTCTGTAGTGAGGATTCCCTTGAAAATGCATTTATCTGGTCACCTTGAGTGAGTGCAGCAAAGTGACAAGGACCCCATACTGGCTAGAGCAAGGGGACTGAATGTGATCTTCTAAACCATGACATTTTCTAAGCAGATAACTCATAGGGGAGAAATCCTTTGAATATTTTTGCAAATAGAAGTTCTTGTCTTCCAGCCTACTCTGGTGCTAAGCAGTTTGGCTGTCCCTTAAATATCAGGGTGATTTCATCTTGGTTTCAGTGGGAATTGGGGTTTTCCTCATTATCCCTGCAAATCAGGCCACTTTTCATGGTGGTGTACTCGTGCAAAGGCTTTGAATCATAAAGAACAGATAGGTCATATTGATGTATTACATGAAGGATGCTGGGTGGGAAAATGGATTGAAGACTTCTTAGGTTCGAGGTAAAAATATGTCCTGCTTGCTGACCTTGGCTGGAGAGTACTACTATTTTACAGTCTGCTTTGCAGTTTTATGATTTCAATGCAACTGTCATTTCTAGTGGAGGATGATCCCTGTCACACGGATTGAACAATTATTCTTTAATGTACATTTCCA